CATTAAATTGCGTAATTTATTGAATCACAGATAAAGATATGAGTAAAGAACAAGTGCTCAGGATTTGACAAACATTGAATATAAAACTGGTTTTGACGTTTCGCCAGAATTTCATCTGGCATCTTCAGAACCTGCGCGTCCATGTCAGTTGTCCGCACTTGTTTGACGCCAGAGTAAAATTTCATCTGGCATCTTCAGAAGCTGCGCGTATGTGAGTTTAAGTGGGGACACGTATAGGTATTTTTTTATAAAATGAGTCTCTAAAACCAACTCTTGGGGATAGGTTAATTAGCGCATTCATTTTATTACCTAAACCTTTTTTCCATTTTTTGTGCCCTTTGTCTTAAGTCTTTTTTAAAACCATTTTTGTGTTTTGTTTCCTTCCAACCAATGGTCTATTCCAAAAAATCTCAACAGCGCGAAAGTTACAGTTACAAAAAATAATCAAACTTAAATACGTTAACTAACCACAACGAACCATAAAATACACATTAGCGACAATTACGAACAAAAAATTCAATGCTGAGTCGAAACAGGAATTTTATAATATAATGTTTATAATATAATGTTGAAATGTTTATTTTTTATTGGTCTAACTTAAGCAGTTATAATTCAGTCATTCGTTTGGTATTTTCCAAAGTGAACGGAACGCGATCCGACAAAGATAGTCTAGCTTTATAAAAGCACTAGTTAGGTCGGATTTTAAATAGCTCCAAAATTTTATTTTGGATAGCCTATTTGATTATATTGATCGAGCGGGTCGCGGATCGTTGGATTCCTTTTAATAATCAATTAAGGGATTAGATTCTTTATTCTTTTAAAATGTCCGAGAAGTCTAACCCTGAATATAATGACCGCGATGAGTGCAGTACTAAATAAATGTGGTACTGTTCGATGGATAAAGTGCAAGAGAAAAAAATTGAATGCCGTTCTTGGCAGTATTTGCAAAAACAATAGATTTATGGGAGTCATGAAGAATGTTTTGTCACTTAAAATGTTTGCTGTTTTGTTGCTATGGTATGTTGTAAGGGTGACTAGACAAACGATTGGCTCTATTTCCCTCCGGTCGTCATACTGGATCGAAGCGTTAATCTTTGTCGTTGCCCTATAGTACTAAAATTTTGCGTAACCGATCTTCGAAATTTTATGTGACAAGTTATTCCATGTTTCGCTCCATCTCCGGGCAAATAGCTAAGAACAGAGTCTCCCTGGTTCTTTAAAGCTCCAATTTGGTGAGATCTTTCCTTTTTACTTAGCACGGATTCAGATTGTTTTCTATTGAAAAAAACTATTGCATGTAAATATGATGGCAAATGTCTGAACACTTTGCCCACTTTGAGGGACAGTACTAGCTAGCTCTTGAAGATGCAATAAACAAATGCTGCGTTTTGAAACAATTCAGCAAATTTTCTTTTTATGGATGACCAGGTATCTCTATTCGTTTTTGGTTTAAATGATCTTTGCTTTAATTGAGAATTAAATGTGCTAGTTTGAAAAAAAAAAGTTAATTTTTGTAACATGGCCAAACAATTTTCGTACAAGGAGTTTTACTTATTACCGTAAGCTCGGGTATCTTAGAAATTTGCTTAAAAAAGACAAATGATTCATTTACAGCAAAATATAATAAGAACTGGTTGTTTATCTTTTTTTTATTCCAACGATTCTATTAAAGCAAAAATAGGGCACCACGTAAATTATAAACCACTTAACGTTACTCAAAATATCAAATTGTAGAAACACTGACAGGTAGTATGTAGCTCAATGACACGATGAGGCCCTTTTAAAAGTTGGCAAAAACATATGATTCCAAACAATATTTTTTCAGTAAAATGGAAAGAAATAATTCTTTATTTTACTTCATTAATGACATTCGGTATTGGGAGAAAACTTTATAGAAAATTTAGAAACGTTATTAGTCATGTATGGTGCAAGTGAGAAAATGTTTTGTTAATTGTTTATTTTGGGCGATAAAGTATCTCACCTCAGGTATGCAATTTGCACTGACATTTCCAATAAATTAAGTAGCAAAAGTGATACGAAACAATACGTCTCTGTAAGCATTGACGCATTTATCAAATTTGTATTGTTTATGTTCTATAACTGCCGAAATAGCTGTTAATTGTTTAAAAATCTAACAATTTGTTTGGTGCTCTTTCTGGTATGAGTCGTGGAAGTGTTTTGCTAGCAGTGAATTGTTATTTTGTAGTGAAATTCAATCTTAAATTGCATTTTATTGCTCATTGCACTACTAGGGGCTAACGAACAAGCAAAGAATTATGCAAATCTGCAATTATCACTTAAGTGCACAAAACATGAGGTTATTGTGCTTAATCCAGCACAATTTTTATTCGGCAAATCAGTTTACTCTTTGGAATTACAAAAAATTGTTACACCAATAATACTGTGCTGACATCTCCTTCACTCTCTGAAAGTTGTGATGTAGCAAGTAAAAATATCGATAAGGTGGCAAAAAAAATGTGAAAATAAAAGAAAAGTTGGAAAAAGTTACTGTAAAGTCCTTTCCAGTAGACGATTTCGTATATCATAAAACAAGTGAGTACATAATTTCCAAATTAGATCGTAAATCTCGAGGTCAATTTATAATTACCGCAGTTTTAAAAAAGTGCAAAAGTACGTTTTCGAATTTGCTCCGCTTATTCGTGGGCCTGATGAGCAAGGTAAAGCGAAAACTGAAAAATGAGTAACAGAATGAGCCTGTGTCGGAGAATTCTTAAAAGAAATAGGTAATATTTCGATAGACAAAATTCACTCCCTCCTGACAAAACTAAGTAAAAATAATAAAATAAATAAATAATAAAAATGTTCTTGATAACTGATGCTTTCGTAGGTTTGCAAAATGATATTTGTATATTGGTAAATATTAATAATAACAATAACTTTTATTTTTCTTGGTTAGTCAGAATGGACAAGTGAAGGTAAAGCTTTTGAGGTCTAACTGAACATCAGGGGTCCGAGGACGTGCACTAGTCAGTATGGCCGTGTCGGCGTCCTTAGCTTATACGAAGATAGTCTCACTTTATAGAAGCATTGGTTAAGTCGGATTTTAAGTAGCTCAGATAGTTTATTTTGAATAGGCTATTTGGTAGTTGATCGAGCGGGTCGCGGATCGTTAAATTCCCTTGTATAATCAATTAAGTGATTAGATTATTCATTTGTTTCAAGCATTGTATTGTGCATTCTTTTAATATGTCCGAGAAGACTTTATGACGTCTCGCTAGCCATCAGAACCCGCCACTCCGGGTTTGTATTTCTATTTTATTATTTTTATAACCTTATTTATTATTATTTCTTACGATCTCCGACCTATATTTTAATAATATTTTGCGTTACTTTACTGATTTCTTAGTAACACATTTTTGATATTATAAAAGGTGCGGATGGACGGTTATACAGTCTGTACGAGTAAATGCGAAAAGAAAAGGAAACGAACGAAATTTGAAAAATAATTTTATAAAATAAATCGGCGAAGACAAAATGCTGGAAATTATTTTTGAGTTTCTATAATATCCACCATATTTGCATAATTTAATTTTAAATCTATTTTTCTACAAAAATTTCTATTCCTTTTTGTTTAATGCTCTTGGTCAATGTCTACAAGGAAAGTGGTAGGAGTGTTCCAACATCTCCAAACAGGATTAACGCTTTTTAATAAACTTGCAGTAATTAAAAGGGGCTTTTCTAGGCTATCAATAGACATAATCGCAAAGAAAATTGCTGGAAAAAGAATGAATGAAACGATGTGAGTTTTTTATGTTATTAAATAGTCAAATAAGAGCCCAACAACTTAGCGCAAACCGCATCTCAATTTTTTTATCATGAAATAAATGTGAATAAAAAAAATTAACACCAAAAAAAATTGAATTTTCGTAAAATTTCGAGTTATTTTAAGTATTTAATGTCTAATAGTTCGTTAGCTAATTATTCTACAACAATTTAGTGATTAAACATTATTACTAGAAAAATAATGCTAAATAGTTGAAAACAGCTAAGTATATCAAAACGTATTGTAAAAAAAGTATAAAGGAAAAAATATTACTTGTCTACTAAAATAATAAATTTCCGTTTTAATTGGTAAATTCGGCAGTAATAACTATACATTAATAACAGCACCTAAATAATAAATTTCACCCAAAATCCTTTCACAATCAGCACCATAGCACAAGTGAAGGAAAAGCCCTGTTTATAGTCTCGAAGTTTATTAAAATGCGTTAATCCTTTTTGGAGATACAGATATTTAGTTAGGATAACATTCCAACCCCCAACCACTTTGCTCGCACAAATAGAACAAACATCATTAAACAAGAAAGATTTGATTTTTTAATAGTATATAATAAGAAGAATAACAAGTCAAAATATGTAGGAGCTTCCATTGAAACAAACATATGGTAAACAAAATATATTTTTTGCCGCCCGTTTGCAATTTCATGAAGCGCACCTTAAAACATCTTTTCCAAATTGTGTTAAATAAGGGAGATATTGTACTTTATCACGTTAATGCTAAGTGCTAGTGGCGACACAATATTTTATGAAAATAAACAAATCATTTTACTGTTCATCTCAAAATTGTCGCTTAAAATATTAAAACAATGAGGCGACGCCATCTGTCTAAAAGATCGACAGCAGGATATAGGAACCCAAAAAACACATTTTTATGACAATTTAAATAAGCATGGACCAAACAAATGGCACCGCCATCCGATATTATGCGATTGACAAAAGCCCAATAAAACGATTTATCAAAAGGACATATTTCCAAAATTATAGCTTGTTTGGTTATTGTCTATTACCGGGTATTTTCTATTCAAGCGCAGGTACTCGGAAAACAGCGATCCCGGCTGGGATTTCGATTTATTTAGACTTAAAGACTTAAGGGTGAAATCGGGATTTCTCGGAAAGAGGGTCGTCCGCAGATATAACTGTATATATAAAAACCATAATCGCATTACAAGGCCGCCGTAAAATGCAACTTTTAGACTTACCACGTTTTTGCATAAACGAGAAGAGATCGTCCAGGAATTCCTTACGTTTTGGGTCGTCGTTGATTTCGTATAACTGAAATAAAAAAAATCTATTAACGCAATGATTCTTTTGGGATTTTTTTTACCGGCAGCTGTGTACGTCGATTGAAGCAAGATTTTAGCCACACTTTTTGGAAAAAATTTGCTATAATTAGAAATTAATTTTGTAAAAATACATTTTGGCCAACTAATTCGTTATAATAAACAACATAACAACAACCTAAATAAAGTAAAAGAAAAATTCAATGAACTGAAATTATTCATTTGTCGATTATTTCAATAGTCTAAATTCTAGCCGTTGTGTTGTAAAATATTATGATCCTGAACTGTATAAAAAAATATCACAAAATATAATGCTTGGGTTGTTCTTGAGTTATTCAATAATGGCAAAATTCTTTAAATTTGTTATTCATTTTTTATTAGACGTTTCAATCAGTATGTGAATCTTTATCAAGAATATAAAATACATACAAATATTATAAAAATTTAATGTTTCATATTAAAATATTTACATTCTTTAGTGATATTTTTAATGAATTAGGAAAAGTACAAAAATGAATAATTGACATTAATATTTCGACATATTGATTATTAATTGCTAATTGCTGGTTTATTTTCAACACTATTATTATAAGAAAGTCGATTTGAATTTTAATTTACAGTATGTTATTAAATTGTGGTAATAACTGACTTAAATTACCAATATTTTTTCAATAATTTGTCTTTTACTGCCAATTTTTAATAAATCTTATCTAGCGTTAAAATTTTATTCTCTTTAAAATTAAATTCATGATTTGTTAAATTTTATTTAAAGCAGTTGATTCTTTTTTAGTATATTTATGTTGATTTATACGATTTTCAAAAAGTTGGCTTGTGATTTGGGCAATTTAAACAAGGTATTGAATGTACATACGATATTTAATTCCCTTTTAACTGAAATTTTATTTTTTAATGGAGCAAAAATTGATTTTATGAATTTGTAAGAAATTGTGGGAAACTGTAATATCATATTTAGAAAGAATATGTTTTTTTAAATGTTTTTTTCTGATTATTTGTATTAGTTTATTATATTTTCTTTTTATTATAAAACAGGTTCGCTGTTTAAAAATGATATTATGATGTTAGTCTTACATCACGATCTGTTAAACCATTAACAGTATTTTGTTGATTTCTAGAATTATTATTTAGATCTTTTCGTATATTTTGCGTACCATTTTGTTTTTTATTATCATTAAGATTTCTTGTTAAAGTTAAGTCAAGAAAATTTATATTTTTTATTTCAATAGTGAATTTTAATTTAGAATGAAAATTATTCAAAGCATTGAGAATATCATTAACATGATTTTTTGGCATAGGTGATAAATAATCATCAACAAAATATCTGAAAAAAAGTTCAAATTTAAATTTCAAAATTGGTAATCCATTTAATGGTTGGTAAAATAATTATTATTTAATGTTATGTTGACTGCTTCTGTAGAATGTTTTAATAAAATAGAAGTGTGATATTTTAATATACCCTTATTTTTTTAGAAATGCAGTTATAATTTTAATTTAATAAAATAAGTCAAATTGTCTTTAATCTTTAATAATTATTGCATTATTGCATGCTGCTGTTCTGCGCTTTGGTATTAAAAATTTTAATTTATTTTTGGCATCCCTGTTATCAGAGTTCGCTTGAATTTATTTTTAAGACTCTCTAAAGTAAAAAAAGCGCTTTTTGCTAAACCATGTAAAAAACGACCCAAATGATAAGTCCTTCGATAAAACATGTTCAACAAGGTTTCACTAAATGTAAAATTGTGGCAGGCAATACTGATACTCAAATTTGACATTAAGAAATCTTTATTTGTCGTCTTGCCAAATAGAAGTAATTTTAATTTGGAGGCATTCAGTTTTAGGGCGTGATGCTCAGAAAAATCCTTTAGTAGATTTAAATCGGAACGAATGGCCTCCGTGTAAGTATTAAAATCAGTACAAGGAAAGTGAGCACATGGCCCGAGGTAGTACATTTAAGAAGCTCTGAAGTGCAGGTTACAAAAAATAGAGGATCAAGTATAGAGCACTGGGGCACCTCAGAATAGTATATTATGCAACAACCAATAACCGGCATTTGACTCACGAGCTTATTTCACACGCAGGGGAGCGAGTGTTTAATAAACCAGTGACTTAAAAAGTTTACCGCACGTGTTGCATACTACATTTCTTGTACGACCGTTAGTTTTTGGGTACACGAATACATTAACTGACATGACCGTCAAAATTGACAAACGTCAAAATTCAAAAAGTGGGAAATATCTGCGAAAACATCCGATTGCTCCCAAATCCGTGCGGTAAAATCCCGGAAATGTCCGAAGTGGCTCGGTTCCGTGGGAAACGAAAGTGACGTGGTAAAGTGACGCTTCCCGCACGTTAGATCGGTGTGTAATAAGGTATTTTACAGACGGGAGTAGAAAAAGCATATTACTGGTCTCTAAAAAAACACCAGAACCAGAATTTGTTGTGACCTTTCACAAAAATATTATATCTAATACTAATAAGCTAATAACATGTAATACTTAAGACGTGATGCAAATTTTTTGACAGGTGCAACACTTAGAACTACTAACTAAGAAAATCTAAACCTACCTATATCATCTTCCAATGCAAATTTCAGGATTGTTTTTGTCTGAAGATAAGAATGTTTTATCTAAGCATTCTAATACAGACCTGTATATTGTTAATACTATAGTCATGTCTACTGCAAATTTTTGGGATATGATTTCTGGTTCTAAGCAATCCAGTCTCATAATGCGTGTTGAACAATATAGACGTTTTTTCTTCTTTTTCTTATACTTATTCTTCATTTGAAGTATTATGCTTAATGTTCTTATTACGGTACCCATCTGTTTCTAGGTCTCCCTATTCTAGGCTCATTTTATATTTTCTTTTACTTTATCATGTCCACTTGTTACCTCTGATTCCTCTCTTATATCTGCATTTCGAAGGCGATCGAGTCCTGTAAATGTCATTTCAGTTGCTTGCAGGCGACTTTCTTGGTTTTTATTGAAGATCCCTCTGTAGAGTACTGTTGATATTGCTATGGTCTATACAATTTAATTCTCATGTTTGTTCTTGTTTTGTGTTTAAGGTGGCGGTTTATTTGACATATCTGGCTAAATGTGCTAAGTTTGTTTTTAGTGTCGTTGTCTAAATCATAAGAGATGTCGCAACCAAAGACTTGGAGAGATCGAGAAATTTTCCCACGAGTACTAATTTTGTTCGTACTAGGTTTTTCCCAATAAAACCATAGGTTTGATTTTTTGAAAAGATATTGTGATATCATACATATTTCATTCAGCTTATAAGTTCATTTTCTGTGGTGGCCAGGATCACGATTTCATATTGGTAAGCTTTAACCCTTTGTTATATGTTGTTTTTTGATGTTTAATGATGTTATTGATGTATACAAAAAGCGTTGGGGAGACGGAGCATCCCTGTCTGACAACTTCATTTGTAAGAATTATTTTTGTAATTCTTCCTTTGATTGTTGTTGTTGATATTAATGTTCAGGCGAATTTTTGTTTCCATAAGTTTTGGGTATCCTCTCCTTTGGATTGTATCTGATAGCCTAGATCGATTTAAGTAGTTTTTCAAATGTAGAATTCTGGTATATATTTTGTAGGTTGCATCTAACAAAGTGATAACTCTATAATTTTCACAATTATTTCCATATTATCCCCTTTCTTAAAGAGTGAAGTTATACTTGCTTCTTACTATTTTTAAAACGTTTTCCCAGATTTCCAAAACATGTTGTACAAGTTATTTTGAGTAGTTCCATATACCGTCATATCAGTAGCTTTTCTGTTTTCGGTTTCCAGTTAGCTAAGGGAAGAAACTCCTACAGATAAATCTCGGACCTGCAGGATAGGGGGCTGAGCAGATGGTTGGTTCGTTCTCGTAAAATTCTCTATTACTTTCAGTACCCAAATCAGCCTCGGAAAAAATGACAGAACTACGTTGACCGACATAGCACGAAATAACGACATTTTTTTAACTTTATAAATAAGATGATACTAATTTTGGTTACTTTAATTGTAAATGTTGAATTAAGGAGTCGGCAGCCCGTCAACAAAGTACAGTTTAATCCTATAATACATTAATGAGGAATGCGCGGATTTATATGGCAAAATAAAAAAAATATATGCCGTGAGAAGAATACCCCGTCTTCTATTTTACATCGGCACCGTTAGTGTCGCGGCGTATCGAAAATAGTAAAAATAGGAACTTAAGTATTTAATTACCCTTGTCGATTGTGTGAAAACAGCCTCTTAACGGGCACACGCAATGAAATTTCTCTCGTTAATTTGTCAATTAATTGAAAAGCCCAAGTCAACAAAGGTTAAAACCTGACCATATAATTTTATTAAACAATTTAAAAGTAAACGTTGAAGGTTTAAATTTTACGTACGTTGCATATTCAGAAATGTGTTTAAGTTCAATAAAAATGGCCCGGACGTTTACGCTAGTAAAAATGTTTCCCCCAATAAATAATAGAAATCGCCGCATGACGTGTAATTATTGATTTGTAAAATTAATGCGTGCGAGTTGTAAAATACAGTTTATATGGCATTTTAATTACACAATGGAGGTATTCTACCTACGCCATTCCCATTTAGTTCTAATGATTTAAAATTATAACCCTATAGACGCGAACGATTAAGTTTATATTAATGTCCGCTGACGTGTATGGCGAGAGGCGTGGCGAGATGAATTTTACGAAACCTAGAGAAAACCAATTAATTTTCTGCGTCTCTTTTTTACCTCTACGTTTCCATTTCACCATTATAGTGCAAAGATGTATGACGTATCGTAATTACACCACTTATTAATTGCATTTTGCTTTGCTAAAATTATTGTCAGTAAAATACAAATTAGCCGTGGAGAAATTTGGTAGTTTATATTTTCTTTACTTATTCCAATTACAAAACAAAATAAAATACAAAGTAGTGAACCAGTAGCAAATTTTATTTAGAAGGAGACGGATAGTAATGGGGA